ATTTTTTGAGGGACAGATATTGTACCACAATTATGTGCAGACGCAGTACTAAAATCGAACAGCAGCAGCGCCAATTGAGTACTGATTCTGACCTAACTTGTGGGACAAACGATTTAGTACAGTATCTGTCCACCAAAAAGCGCAGCTGCGATACAATTTAGAACCGATGTTGCTCGAAAGGTTAGGTACACTATCTGAACGTGTGTTTAGTACGAAATCTGTGTTTAACTTCTCTCAGTGTATGTATCTAGTTATTTTAATGTTCTATATTTATAGAGTAATTAATATATAATTGTAAAAGATATATAACATAATTATACTGAAAATGTTAATCAAATTTCACTGCTATTAAGTTCATATATGAAAGTTATTAATATTAGTGTCTTTCACGAACCTTGTTTATTGGAATCTAACAAATAATTCATCAACAATGTTACAGTTTTTAATTAAAAAAAAAAAAAATACTCGTAACATTTCAGTTTGAAATTTTAACAATTTTTCAATTTATTATGTACTCGAAAGATATCTTGTTATTGAGACTTTTTTTTTGTTTTGTTCAAACAAAACAACTTTTCCAGGATATTGATCAAATAACCGAATATGTAATTGATATTCAGTCGGTGAATACAAATCCTAATCGTATTATTCCATGCCATTTAATAAATCACGTTTCCAAATCGATCAGTGCGAAACTGATTCATAACACACATCAATCGAAACAAATTTCCATCAATAATCTGTTATAACTATTTTACACATTGAAAAAAATTTATTTCATTCAAATAATCGATTACTTGACTTATTATCAAATAAATATTTATTTGAATCAAATAATTATTATTTGAGTCAATTATAAATATGGTATTCGTTTCAAATGTAGAAATTATTGGTTCTTCAATATATATTTAATTAAAATAAAAATTATTTGGTTTAAGTAAATATTTATTAAAATAATACCAAATAATTTTTTATTTGTATTAAATATATTGTATTTCAGCCTATAATTTCTGTATTTGAAACAAATATCACTTAATTGACTCAAATAATACTATTGTGTTTTGTGACTATCTGTCTGCTACATACCCATCCCTGTATGTAACCCTGATACCTAAAGAATTTTAAGTTTTTTAATTTCTGATGTTTGACAACATGACAGCTTTGGCCACTAATCTCTCTCTATATATATAGGTTGGTTTTCATTGTCCCCACTCGCCATTTGTCATAATTCTCGTCAACTACCGCACCCTGCTCTAGTGAAAATTTAGTAACTTTGTAGTAACTTTTAATTTTAACAATAATGTTACTAAATTTTTACTAGAGCAGGGTGCGGTAGTTGACGAGAATTATGACAAATGGAGAGTAGGAATTTTAGCGAGTGGGGACAATGGAAACCAACCGTTATATAACGTGTATTATTGTTCCACATATATATTTTGCATAACTTACTTAATTGCAATAAATATACACTTGCAAAGCATTTATTTGTTGTAAATATTTTAGTTTTAAAAAAAATTATTCAACAATTATTATTATTTTTAGACAAATTTTACAAATATAATAGATTATTATTTTTCTCTTTGAAACTTTCTCTATACATGCCTTTTTGCATTTTGTTAACAATATTATTAAATATTTAATAAAATAATTGTAATAAATTATGAAACATAAATCGAAAATTAAATTGAATGGACAAAGAATAGAAGCAACAGAGACGGCCAAAGGCCGTCGGAGGCGCTAGTGATATTAAGGCCAAGTCCAAGTGAGGCAGCGCCATCTACATTGATACTAAAATTTTGGAAAATTTTCAACAGCCTTTTCTTGAAAACAAGATGGTAAAATGCTTTTTCCTTTATGGATAATATTGATTATTGGCAAGATATACACCAGCTAAAACTTTTTTTGAGTTAAAATAATAAAAAAAATTTCATGTCAATAAATTAAATATGAGCACTTTTTTCACAAAAACTGTAACAGTACTTTCTCAGAAATTACAATCAAAAATGCAATTTCCATTTGGAAAATTAATAAACGTTAAAAAATACACGACCTAAGATTAACAATCACGAAAATAACAAAAAAAAGTATTTTAACATAACATATTTTACTCATTATGACAGCCGTTTGGCAGGTTATATATGTCACCAGACGTTTCGCAGTTTAGCCGAAAGGAGGAGATTGGCGCTGTTGCTAACCACCTGAAATACATAATCTACCAAAGGGCTGTCACAATCAGTAAAGCAGTATCAATATGTTAAATATTTAATAAAATTTTTTTTTTGTTATTTTCGTGATTGGTAAATCTTAGGTCGTGTATTTTTTAGCGTTTATTAATTTTCCAAATGGAAATTGCATTTTTGATTGTAATTTCTGAGAAAGAACTGTTACAGTTTTTGTGAAAAAAGTGCTCATATTTAATTTATTGACATGAAATTTTTTTCATCATTTTAACCCAAAAAAAGTTTTAGCTGGTGTATTTCTTGCTGATAATCAATTATCCATAAAGAAAAAAGCATTTTACCTTCTTGTTTTCAAGAATAGTCTGTTGAAAATTTTCCAAAATTTTAGTTTCAATGTAGATGGCGCTGCCTCACTTGGACCTGGCCTTAAAAACCATAGTTATTATATATATATTAAATTCAAAAAATAATTCGTTACATAAAATATATTTCATCCCTTGATTTACAGATAAAACTTAAAATAACATTCTTCTATATAGTGTCACTTGAGAACCTAATCTATAAAAAATTTATGCTCAAATCTGTATGTTTCACTCTCTAAATCTGAATTAGTCACTTTTGACTAATTCAATAGTACCGATTCGTTTATTAAAGAATTAGTAACAGTAATGATTAATTTTTAGTCAAAAATGACTAATTCATTATAGTTAATCTAATTTTTAGGTTATGTTACATGACTAAAAAATTAATAGATTTATATCGACTAAATATTTTAGTAATTTTTTTTTTACAAATAATTAGATAAATTTGACTATTCAATTAGTTGTTTTCTACTAAAAATTAGTTATTTTTTACTAATTGAAATAGAGCTGATTCGTTCACGGTTTGACTGTTAATTAGTAGTTTTCTACACTAATTCAAATTTAGAGAGCATATGACGGAATTTAAAGTTTTTAATATAAAAACGTCATGTATTTATATTATTAATATTTTAATGAGAAATAATCTCAAATCTTAATTTTGAAAATCTGCTTAAATCTTACGTTATCATTTTCAGAAATAGTTTATGCATAATATCAGAATAAAATTTATCTAATTTAAAGATTAATTTTTTCCGTGTGCAATTTAAATATATAATAAATTTTATTCAAAATTATTTACTACAATCAAATAATAATAATAATAATAATAAATATGTAAAATAATAATAATAAATTAATCCAATATGTGCTTCAAATATTTTCTTACAAGTGCACCGAAGCATTTTTGGGAATTGTAAAGTATGTATAATATACACACCTTACAAAATACACTTATATATATATAGAAAACTTTGAAATAAAATACATTCATGACTGAGTTTGCATAAATATCGGATTACCCTCTTTTCGTTACGTTGCAGAAGCTTCTCTTGCTGTTCACAGATGTGCATACAAAATGCTTTCAGTGCCAGATTATCCGTCGATTACACTTGCGTATTCACTTTTCTCTTTCTTTCAATTTTTTTTTTCTTTCCCAAATATTTATTAAAATTCGCAATTTATTCGTATATTCTCTTTTGATAATTCTTATAGATAAAATGATTTTTAAAAAACTTTCGTATTAATTAATAAATTATTATATATTAAAAAAAAAAAAAATTTCTATCGAATATATAGCAAAATGTATTTGTTAATAAAACAAAAAATAATATTACAACAAGATTTGAAAAAAAAACTTTACACATTTACTAATTTTTATCGTTAAAACAAAAAACTTTTTTCATTCGAAAAATGAGAAACAGAAAAAAAATTGGAAAAAGAAAAGTAATTCAGAAAATAACAATTTCTCATGAAAAACTATAAACGTAAAAAAGTATAATAAAAAAATTATAACTTTTGTGAGTGTGTGTATGTGTACTTCATGAAGAATTAATTTTCCTTTTTTTTTTTTTTTTTGTCTTTTTTAATCTTCTGAGAACGTTAAAGTCTTTAGACTGATCATAAAAAGAATATGTGTCTCTTTCACGCTTTGCACCGTAATTTTTTTTACGTTCCAACGCATTTGCATTCTTCTGAATATTACAACATTGTTAGGTAAACTAGTCACGGGTATTGGTTTGGTGCTAGCTGGGCAGAATGTAAAATCCAATTTAATTCACGTTGAGTATGGTCTATATATACTGTATGCAGACAAAATGACCTTAATATCAATTATAATCTTTTGAAAAAGTGAAAAAAAAATTCGGTTTTCTCTGTCATTCGTGGTGTTTTTGATTAAAAAAAAAAATAAATAATTAAAAATAATTTCTACTAATAAATTTACTAATATACTAATAAATTTTGTTTCTTTACTAAATAAATTTAATAAAAAAAATAAATAAATTTTTTTTTTTTAAATAAAATATTTAAAACAAATGAGAAACAAATATTTTATTGCGAGGACAATAAAATTGCACGATTTGGGAGTTATTTTATTTTTACAATATTTCCGAACGAAAAAATATATATATATATATATATATATGACTGATATGCAATAAACTCACAAAACTGCAACAATAAAATATAAAATGTCAAAAATTATTTATAACAATATCTTTCATTTTAAAAAATGTTTATCGACCTTTAATGTATTTATACATAAAATTTGAAACTGACTTTTGAATTAATTTTTTTTAATAAAAAATTGCCACTTTCGTATTTTATTTATTATTATTCATTAATATTTTTTCAAATACCATATCTTTAAAAAATATGTAATTTTTGAAATTTAATAATGTGAAATTAAATTTAAGCAATGAATTTAATATTTAACTGAATTTTTAATTTTACTATGTTACAGTATAACATAAAAAAGAAAGAAGAGGTCCAAGAAATTCAACAGGAAGAACCTAACCCGCTAATGCGCAAGAAGAAGACGCCAGAGGAATTGGCGGCTGAAGCGGAAGCGGAAGACGAAGATGAATTTACGAGTAAGTTCTGTTTTTCTTTTCCTTTTCCGTGGTTATGGCGTTTACTGTATATATACATACATACACAATTTATAGCAATAGATCAAAAAAAAAAAAAAAAAAAAAAAAAAAAATGAAAGAAACTGTTATTTAATTATTAAAAGAAATATTGTTAATAATTTTGTTTTGTTATTGTTATATTTTTGTTTCAAAAAATACAATTATTTTGAAATTAAAATAATAATTCGAATTAAAATTCAAAAAACGATTTTTTAACTCAGAAATATTAAAAAATTATTAATTTTCAAAAACAAATTACGTGCTGAATTGTGCTACTCGAACAGAAAAAGAAATAATCATAAAATTAAAAAAAAAAAATAAAAATTTGCAAAATAATTTAATTTTAAAATTGCTTTTTTTATACACAGAAATATTCAAAAATTATTACTTGTCAAAAATAAATGTGCTGAATTTTAGTAGTCTAGCACAAGAAAAATCAATTATAATATTTACGAAAAATTAAAACAATTTTAAATTCAAAAACAGGTTTTTTTTACTCAATAATATTTGAAAATTATTATTTTTCAAAAATAAATTTTGTTCTGAATTATAACAATTACGAAACATTCAAAATTTTTTTTATTAAATAATTCAATTTTAAAATTGAAAAAAAAAATTGTTATTCAGAAAATATACAAAAATTATTATTTTTAAAAAATAACTTTTGTGCTTAAATTATACTAGTCTAGTGCAAAACGAAAACAATTAAAATAATCACGAAAAATTAACATTTTTTCAAAATATGTAATTCAATTTTTAAATTCAAAAATAGGTTTTTTTTTGCACAGAAATATTCAAAAATTATTATATTTTCCAAAAACAAATTTTGTGCTAAATTATTCTTGATTTGCACAACTAATTTATTTTATTTGTAAATAAATAAATAAATTCAGCACAAAATTTGTTTTTTAAAAAGAAAAGTTTTTGAATATTTCTATGTAAAAAAAACTTATTTAAAAATTTTTTAATTTAATTTCAAAAAATTTTTTATTTTTCATAAATGTTATAATTGTTTCTTTTTGTGTGATGGACTCGAAGAATTCAGAAATTGCAGCACAAATTAGTACAAAAATTATTTTTTTGAAAAAAGAAAATCGTTGCTAACTTCTTACACGTAAGAAACATTAAATTAAAGAAGTAAAATCAAGAAGTTCTAAAAAAAATTATTTTTCGACTATTTTTTTTTCTTTTTTTTCTGATAGATTTAAAATACTTGAAATATCTCAATTGGAATTTCAAATTTTTCCCTTTTTTTGTTTGTTTTTTTCCCCCCCCTATAAAACAAGAAATTAATGATATTTTTTAAATTTCAGAATTTAAAAATACGATAGAGACGCAAGTGAATGAGATCAAGACACAAATCGAAAGTAAATGCAGCCTCCAATGAGTTCATCCAACGATGCGGTCGATTACGATGGCGTCGTCAGTCATCAAGATCGCGTCCGTCTCACTGTCCCGCCGACAAGCAAATGAAGGAAACAAAAAAAATCTCTCTTATAAATATTTAGAATCGATGAACGTAACTTGTAAAAGTAAAAGAAAAAAAGCGCAAAACACCTGCGGCTTTGCATCATCATCATCATCATCATCATCATTTTTCGCTTGGAATGTACACGCGGAAATAAAAAGACCACTAGCAGTTTAGAAAAGAGAGAAAAAAAAAAAAAAAAACTACAATAGAAATCTCAAAAGCATCAGTGTTCTTTGAGATCCTCGTTGAAGTGATTAAACCTCTAAGGTTCCACACGAGCTCGAAATGAAGAGAAAAGAAAAAAAAATAGAAATAAAAGAAGAAAAAAATATCAAGAACAAGAAAATAACTCGTGATTATCAAGAACTTAAAAGTTTCCCTTTAACGAGAATCCCTCCCCTCAACGACAAGTTACCTTTCTAATCAATCCATCGAAAAAATATTTCGTTCATCGATCTCTCAGCATCAAGGTATGTAAAACAAAAAAAAAAAACAGAGAAAGCAAAAAAAAAATCTTGAAAGAGAAAAACAACCCGTGCCTTCGAACCGGATGTCTCCTGCAAATTGAAAAATTCTCAAAAATCTTGATGCGAGGGAAAAGGGGATAAAAAAATAACTTTTGAAGAGAGGGACAGAATTTCTATATGCACGGGGAAGGGGGATAGGGTTTGAAAAAAAAATCAAGGCGTCACGAGAGTGGCAATTGGGAAGAAAAAGAAAAAAAAAAAAGATTGTCGAGGGAAACAAAGGATATTTCCTCGAAACAAAGACTTTGCTACTGTATGCTTATAAATTGCCGCAGGGAAATAACGAGGAAATGGCACAGAGGAGCGTCGTCGAGTCGATGGGGCAAAAAAGTACCGAGAAAAAAAAAAAGACGAGAGAAACAAGTTATAAATTCGTATAGAACAGGAATTCATTCGGGGGGACGGAGATCACAACAAAAAAAATATATATATACAAATTAAACGAGGCTTATTAAAAAGAAAAAAAAACGAATAAAAAAACAAAAAAGAGAAAAAAAACATTCATTTGCGCCACGCTTTATCATCCCCTACTCCATTACGAAAAAAAAGTAAATCCAAAAAAAAATTTTCAAATATTTATTCAATTTCACGGATATATGACGACAATAAAGAAAACAAAAAAAAAAAAAGAGTCTGCTTTCGCGTGGCGCAAATGAATCATAAGAAAATATATATCTCTCTAGCTTGCCCTTAATGAGAGAGATTGAGTAGCTTTCGGCCTTGAAAAGCGATTAGGAATTTTTTCTCCTAAAAATTGAGTGAACTATATATAAATAAAATATAGTGAGAGAGTGAAAAAAAAATGCCCTAAGCGCTCGTGACTGTTCAATCAGTCTCTGGTATAGAGAAACTATCGTCAAATTGACGAACAAGTGTTGGAAAGTGGAGGAAAAAAAAAAAAAAAAAAGTATCTACCATGTAAGTTTTTAGTGAAATTACGAATAGCTGAACTTACGTTAGCAAAAGTTATGTAGTTGCTAGACACACACGTGCGACGGCTGTTTCAATAATTAATTACAAAAAAAAAAAATAAATAAAAAAAAAAAGGAAAAAAAAATTATTACTCTAGCGCAGGGTTAACGTATTTGTATTTAGGAGAGGTTTTCGTAAACGCCTGGAATCTCGAGAGCTCTAGTCGATGGAGATGAAGGACAAAAAAGAAAAAAATGACAAACTCTTTAAATAAGGACGCGGTAGGTTTCTGCTCTCCATCGGTTCGATTTGCAACAAAAAAAAAAAAAAAAAAAAAAAAAAAAAATGTGAAAAAAAACCACGTGCTCGATCTTGTCGACGCACGGAGAATATTAAATAAAAATTAAAAAAAAAAAAAAGTTTGAAAAAAAACGCGAACGAATCAAGGAAAACGATGAAAATTTCCTTGAATCACAGTGATATCGTATATAAGGCCGTAGATACTAGTTAAAAAGAAAAAAAAAAAAAAAAAAAATCAATTGTTGACGATTTATTATTGAAAATTTCTGGTGTGAAATGCAGCACCGTTAGTTTGTTGTGTTTTGTGCGCAAACACCATTTTAAACCCGTGGATCATGTAGAATTTTTAAAAAAAATTCATTTCGAATTTTCGGGGTTTTTTATAAATATAGTGATATACTTAATGTGTACATATTTGTCGTTAAAAATATTCTGATTACAATTTCCGGATTTTGTTTTCCTATCGGTCAAAAATTCAAAACTGAAGAACAAAAAAATTATCCACCCCTTAAAAAAAAAAAAAAATGAGAAAAATATTTTGCTTCTGATATATTTTAAAATTTATAAAATATTTATGAAATTACTTTTTTATAAAACTTTTTTTTTATTTAATTCATTTTTTTTCGTTAATTTCAAACAAATTTGTGGTGAATTTAATTAAAATATTTTGTTGACTTTTTTGTTTAATTTTAGTAAAATTTAAAAATTTTCGAAAATTTTACTTGAGACAAAAACAAATTCTGCTAGTCTATTCAAAATATTGTTGGGCTAAAAAAAAAAAATTTTGTAAAAATATTAACAAAATGTTTTGTATTGTCAAAAAGAAAAAGTTTTGTAGCAAAATATTTTTTTTCATGAAAATTGCAAAAAAAAATTTTAGTAAAATTTATCAATTAATTAAATTGAATAAAATCTAATCATTTAATTCACTGATTGAATTAATTTCAATCATTCACACTTTGGTTATTTAATTATTCACTAATATTTAATAATTTGATAAAAAAAAAATTGTTTTACTCTTTTTTAATTTAAAAAAAAAAATTTATCAAAATAAAGAAAAATCTTTCTTTATTATTTTAATAATTTTTAAAAGAGAAAAAAAATTTCTTTCTAATAAAATATTATTTATAAATAATGTTTTAAAATAAGAAATTTTTTTCATAACTCTATTAAAAAATTAAAAATAATTTTTTTTTCTGAAAAATCCATTTTTTCTTAGAGAAAGGTAAACAAATCCGGAAGTTGAATAAATTATTCTCTTTTTCGCCGTGCGACGACGACGTCAAGGCCGTTACGTGGTACACGCACCGAAGTGTTTGTTGAAATTTTTCATAGTTTAACAGTTTTCCGATGCGTGAACTATGTCGGACGATGGTCCAGAGCACCAACTTTCCGACAGGTGATGCATGCCTTATATAATATCTACAATATTAAAAAAAAAAAAAAAACCGTTTGAATATACCACACGTCGTATTCGAAGGAAAAAAAAAACAATCACCAGAATCGAAACCTTGTAAATTCATTCAAAATTTACCAATTAATAATTTTGTTGCAGCAATAATAATTTTTTTTTTTTAAACATTAGGTGAAAAATAAAAAAAAGTGTTATAATTAAATTATTTATTATAATTTTTTTTTACAAAAATTATTTTTCTCGAAAAAAATTAATTCAGAGAATGATTATTATTGTTGTAACACAAGAGAATGAGAATTAGGAATGGTAAATTTTAGACGAAAAAGAATCACCATCGGTGAAGGTGGGGGAAAAAAAAATCGAATTACAAGGAAAAGCGATTTTTGAAAGTTGCAAAAAAAAAAAAACCAGAAATAAAAGCGACATTATTAATTTGTGTGCGAATAGAAGGAAAAAAATCATAATAAATGAGAGGGAGAATGTGAGTGTATGAACGAAATTTTTTCAAATGACTCAAATGTAAAATCCCGTTTTTGTATAGTCGAAGGAGAAAGTGTATTTTTTTTTTCCAAAAATATTTATTTCGCAGACATTTTTCAAAAGCACTGACTGCGACCCTCTCGATTATAATCTAATTGCTTCTCTCTAAAATAATTTTCCTAATCTGCGCAAAAAAAAAAAAATTCTTTTTCTCGGACCATTCATCCAAATTCCGTGACGCGACCTATTTTTCCCGCACAGAATAGAACTTTTGTCAACTGCATTTCAATAATAATGAAAAAAAAAAAAATAATAAAGAAAACCTTTCTCTCAAATCTTCAATTCAGTTCAACCACAATTCCCGTTTCAAATTTGAGATGAAAAATATTCTTCAAATTTTATCGTATTTCAATCATTTGCAGTTGACAAAATTTGTCTTAAAAAAAAACAAAATTTTTTTCAATTGTCCATGTTTACAGACAAATGCATGGCAAAGTATTTCTAATATTTTTCGTTGAAAAAAAATTTATTTCTATGTGTGTGTATGTGTGTGGATATATTGGAAATTACAATTTATAAACGAACTTTGAGTACAAGAAATTTTATAACAAAACTTGAAATTAAATTTTAGGACAAATTTTTCTCTTCAGTGTTTCAAAAAAAAAAAAAAAAAAGCTTTCAATGTGGTTGTATGCAGTGTTGTATTTTCAAAAACAACAAAAGAAAAAAAAATCCATTACACAATTTTGTTTTTGTTGTATACTTGGAAAAAGTTTCTTTAAACACTTTATCCATCACTAACACTCAAACTTAACAAAGCACGGATAAATCGCTACTCTTGTTTTATCTCACTCTTTCTCTCTCAAAAACTAAAGAAATAGTTTGTTATCTTGGAACTTTTGAATTACGAATCGATATCTTAACTTTTTTTCTCAAAAAAAAAAAAAATAAAATAAAAAAAAGTTTCGAAAATTCGTCCTGCCCGTTCTTTCTTTTAGTTGTTTGTTCATGAAAAACAAACACAAAGTTTTTACGCAGATCGCTACTTCCGTCTCTTTACCACGTCAACTTCTCTGAAGTTTTAAAGCCTCATTCAACCAACTTTTTGGACTAAAAGATTCAGTTTTCAAGTTCTTGGAAAATATTACTTCCTTCCGTCATTATCACGACTTGTCTTTGTTTTTAATGTCCAATTGTCACCGAGGCACAATTGTAACCATGATAAATGCAAACTTCATTTATTTACGAAAAAAGAAAAAATTTGAGAAATAATTAATTAATTCTAAAATTAATAGAATTTTTTTTCACATGAAATCAAATTTTTTTCTTCTCTTTTTTTTTGTAAATTTACAAAAAATTTCAAACGTTTTATAATCGAAATTGTTCTCTAATTTCGAGGGAGAGAATTTTTTTTTTCTCTTCACATATAATTAAAAATTTCCAATTCTCTTCGATTTTATCTGTTGACGACTTTTCGAAAACTGTTTTTCTATTTTTTTTTCTTTTTTTTGTTTCGAATTGTTTTTCACTAAAACGAATTCTCACTTTAGAAAACTTTTCAACAAGAATAGCGAATTTTCTGTTGCACTTAAAACTTTAACATCAAAAAGCTTGAAAAGTCAAAGGAACATAATAATAAAATCAAGAGAGAATGTTTCCGAAATTAAGCAAATAAAATGGTGAAAGAATAAAAAAAAGTGAAAGTTGGAATAAACTAAAACTATACATGAACAGAAATTTCCCAGATTCCACAAAAACTAATCAGACACTCGAAACAAATTAAAAACAATTTTAACTTTCGCCAAATGAAAATGTTTCAAACAAATTAAATTTCAATGGAAAATAAAAAAAAGAGAGGAAAAAAAATTGAAATTAACGCAAAAATTAAAAAAACGAATTTACAATTTTAAACAAAAATTTTTTCAATATTACAAATTTTCCAAAAAATGAAAATTTTTTTTTTTTTAAATTTAAAAACAATTTGAAAAAATTAAAGTAAATTAAAAAATATATCTGAAAAAAAATTTTCTATAATATAAAAAATTGATGGAAATTTAAAAATAAAAAAACATGAATTTTTCGTTTTATAAATCGTGATACTCTGGGAAAATTGCTGTACATAAAGGGAATCACTTTCCAATCAACAGATTCTCCTCTAAACTGTAACACACAAGGTGTTTTAATCAATCTGCTAGCCTCTCTCGTGTCTCGGTGTTGCATGCCTGTCAATGTGCTTGTCAATGTCAATGTTCTCAATCGCTCATCTCTTCGTTGAGCAGCTTCTCTCAATGCAATAAAATTTTCGGGTCAGAAGATCTCGAAAGTTATCCGATTGATACGAAAAAAAAAAATAAAAAAAACAAAAAAACAACCCGTCAGCCGCTCGCCAAAAGTAATAAACAAACCTCAAAAAAAAAAAATGTTCCTCGGACGCCTAACAAAAAAAAAAAAAAAAGCGAACAAAATCGCATGCGATGTCCATTATTGGACACATCTTCTCGTCATATCAATAGTCTCGTAAAAAAAAAAAAAGAATATAGAAAACTTTAACAAAATCACTATGTACCAATCAGCACGAAAGTAACGAAAGAAGAGAATCAAAAAATATATATTTTATTATATGGATAAAGAAAGAAGTTTATCCGTGACAAAGAGCCGCTTTCTTCATCTCTTTTTCTTGTCTATTTGAAGATGATTATTATTATTTATTTATTTTTTTTTTAAATCAATTTTACTCAATTGTGAGAATATTTATTTCATTGTTTCAATAACATAATGTTATTTGATTCAAAATAATAAATATAGAAATAAAAAATAAATTTGAAAATGAAAAAAATTGGAAAATTTGATAAAGACAAATTCAAAAAAAGAAAATACAAAATTAAAATATGAAAAACTATTTAAATTACCAAAAAAAATTAATTTAAAAAAATAGAAAATATAGAAAAAATAATTATAAAAAAATAGAAAAATAATTATTTAAAAAAAAAAAATATTGAAAAATGAAAATTGATTATCAGCAAATAGAGGGAAAAAAATTTCTTTACCCTGAACAGCAAAAAGTTTCACTAAAATAGCGAATATTTTTGTTATTCTAAAAAAAAACAAATTGCTGTTCCAGATAAAAAAATTTTTTTTTCCATGTAATAATAAAATTTTGCCATTTATTAGAATTCTATGATTAAATGGAAAAAAAAACTTAATTATTTGTAAATAAAATATAGAAAAATTGAAATTATAATTCTAAAATTAAATTAAAATAAATCGAAAAAAAAATTAAAATGATAATTAAAAGAGATTTAAAATTAAAATATCTGTATTTTTCATTAAAGAAGAAATTGGCTCTTTGACAAGATAATTATGATAATTGCGCGGATAACTTACGAGAGACCGGATTCGCCGGATTGCGCTCTTTCTCTCTATATGATCAATTTTCTATATATGGTAAGATCTTTTAGATGAAAACGCTTTAAACGTACCTTTTTTTTTGAGAAGTTTGTGAAAACTTCTTAAAAATCCTCTCTTTCTCTCTCTCTCTCTAAATTTTTCCCTATTTCCAATTCAATAAATTTTTCTCAAAAAAAAAAAATTTCCTCTAAATCTCTATTCCCCCTCTCTCTCTCACTCTTTCCATATGCATTCCCGTCCATATATTATATTCTCAAAAAAAAAAACTCCCATCACCATTATTAATGACCAGTATCCGCGTTTAAATTTAATTATCCAAACACGATAAACTTGAAGTCAATTACTCAAATTATATAATCCGAGGCTGTACATTTTATTAGAAAAAAAAAGAAAGAAGAACTCTATGTAAAGGACCGCCCCTAATATTGCAATATATATTTATCGAATAACTATATTATGGATTTCAATATTATCAAAATATTGTTAATAATGTACGTATGTAACAAATTATAAAAAAAAAAAAAAGAAATTATTTCGACAGTTCAACTTTGAATCTGACTATATATTATATATTTAAATAAACTGGTTGAATTATTAAAAAAAAAATAAAATAAACCAATAACGCCGAATGTGAAAAATAATGTCAGATTTGAAGAGTGAAAAATTTTCACTTGGAAAATGTTAATGATTTTACGGAATGTATTTTTTTTTTTGTATTTTATCTTCATATTTTCAAAATGTTCAACGTTTTATTCTTAATCCTTATAAATTATTATTATCTCGATTATAATAATTATAATACTAATAGTAAATATTAATAATAATAATAATAATAATAATAATAATAACAACAAATATAAAAATAATAATAGTAAATATTATCACTTTTGTTGTTAATATTATTGTTATTTTTGTCATTATTTTTATTATTTTTAATATTATTTTATAAAAACATCTATTTCCAAATAGCTTTTTTGAAAAAAAACCCCCCTTCTCTCCTTCTCTTTGCTCCCACACCATCGATGTTTCTACGTGCATGTGACTATCTTTAGCCCACTGTTGCAAATTACACTGATTGTCAATATATTGTTAGAGGGACAAATTTAGATAAAATGCAAGACGATAGAATGCTATTTTCAAAAAAAATAAAATAATAATAATAATAAAAAAGAAATGACAAAAAAAAGCAGAGAGACCCAGAGAAGCTTCGAGTAAAATTAATATTGAAGACAATATATAATCTTCGTTTTGTAATAGTAAAACGAACAATCAAAAACTCATTAAAAAAAAAAAAAAAAAATTGCCCTTTTTTCGGCGACGAAACTCGAGTTTTTCAGAAAGCTTAGGTGTTTTTTTTTTTTTTGTAATCAATAAAATTGTCATAAAAATCCTTCATTATTTTCTTAAAATTCTATTGAACACGCAATTGTATATTCACAATGTATATTATCTTTAGTATTTTTTATTTTTTTTTTTTTAATATTTAAATTTTTTTGTTTTTACTTTTTATTGTTTATATATTATTTTGTTTTATTTATTATTATTGAATCTTTATTAAAATTATTTATTTAAATTTATTTTTTGATTTTTGAAATTTCCTCTCTCAATTTTTTCATTTATATAAAATCTCTCTTCAATATATTGAAGCTCAATTTTTTAATTGTATGAAAATTTCTCAAAACCACGTCCAGTTGAGGCAAAAAAAAAATAATAATATTGTTTACTGTCAATATATATATATTCTTAAACAATAATTGATTTGTATATATATTTTTTTCTTTTTTTTTTATTTCGTCGAGAAATCAGAGTCATGAAATAATCGCTGCTGACAAATACTATATTATATATAAAATATTGTTTTAGTGCAAATAGAATTGAAAATTATATTATTAGAAAAAAAAACAGGTTCGTTGCGATACAATTTATCTAAATTTACGTCCGCAAGGTGTTTTTCTCTTCGTTCTTTGAAAAAAGAAACAAACAAACAAAAAAAAAAAAACAAAAAAAACAGAAGCAAGCTCGTAGAAAAATTACAATAAATAAAAAACTATTAGGCGTGATTCTCGTTTAATATTTTACTTCTAAATGTTGTAAATAAATGTGCAATGCGTTTACAGGCGCTTGAAAAAAAATACTCTTTAGCATTGTAAAAAAAAAGAAAAAAAAAAAACAACACCTGAGAAGTGTAATAAATTCTCAGTGTTGTTGCTACTGTTGTTGTTACTGCTGATTAATGTCGTATGTCGTTGTTGTTTCTTGATATTCAGTATCTTTTATTTTTTTTTTCTATACAAATTTTGTTGTGTCTCACTCTCAAAAAATGGACAAAAAAAAAAAATGAAAAATATTTTTTTTTGACAAATCCTGGTTGTTAAAATTTTTTAAAAATCTTTTTTTTCAAAATCGTTTCAAAACTTTTGATTTGCAAAATATAATTAATTTTTCAAATAGAAAAAAAAGTGAAATCTATGTATTTTTATACAAAAAAAGAAAATATAAGAAAGTTTTTTAACGTCCAGGATAAAAAAATTACATTTCTGAGATTTTTTTAAAAATTTTAATATTTTATTCCAAAAAAAAAACCGTGGAATTTGGGTGAGCTTAATATATTCTCTCGATGTTTCTTTTCTATTTTCTGTTTATTAAAATAATATCTATAAAAATTTGGATAATTTTCTAAAAAGTAAAAAAGGGAGAAAATGATACTTAAAAAAGAATTATTATTACTAAAAAAAAAATTATAAAAAAGTAATAATAATTTGTAAAAAAATAATAATTCAAAAAAAATCTACTGTTCTTAAAGCCACCCTTAATTTGCTTATATAGGGCAAATGTGGCACGTGATATCGAAAATATTTGCTATTTCTCAATATTCTCATAGGGAAAAATTAGCAAAAAAAAAAAATCTCTCTCTCTCTTTCTCACTGTTGTTTTTTAAAATATTGACATTTTCGAGTGGGTGGCAGCTTTTTAATAATTAATTCCATAGGTAGTTTGTTTTAAAAAAATAGATTAATCGATTGTTAAAAAAAAATGAAAAAACGAAGTGCAATATGATTTTAAAAAAATATACATAAAAGCCCTAATGTTTACAAATGTTTTTCTATGTATATAGTTCTCACAATGTATGCGCTAAATTCGCACACGTTCAAAGAGACTTGCACGTTTTAATTAGATTTTTTTTTCGTGAAATATAAATTTTTATTTTAGACACAAAAATTTTAGGGACTTCTCGAAAAATACAAAAATACAAAAAAAAAACTCAATAAAATTAAGGGAAAAGAAACATGAATTCAAATTTCATATCTCGAGTGTGTCGCCTAAATTTTTTATTTAAATAAAAAAATATCAAATTGTAAGAAATGAAAACAAAATTAAAACAACCAAAATTTTTTTCAATTTGAAATACAGGGGTTAAAAATTAAATAAATAATGGTAAATGATAAAAATTACTAATAATTATTTCTAATTTTAAATTTAATTTAGTAAAATTTATATTTTATATTTCATTAAAATTATAATAGAAAAAAATATTCAATTACTAATTTTTAATTTAAATTAAAAAAATTTGTATTCTATTTTCTAAATTTTTATATGTTTTTTTAAATAGCAAAAAAAAAATATTTAAATAATAATTATTTTTAATATTAATTTTAAATTAGATTTTAATTTTAAATATATCGTAAAAAAAATCCAAAAAATGTTTTTTTAATCACTGAATTATTAAATAAAAAAAAAACGATTAATTTATCGATAGAAATTAAAATCGGAAAAAAATAATTTAATCTTGAATTTTCAACTAAAAAAAAAAAGAAAACAAATTAATTAAATTTGAAATTTTTTTTCACTTGAAAATATTTTAATCGTGGCACTCTCGAGATGTTGGAAATTGAATTAATTGAACCATATATAAAATGACTATTCAGAGACAACGACACAGCGCATTATAAAGTAATAATGATAACGATTCTTAATATTATTGACATATATATATATATAATTATATATATTA